CCGGGCGCGCGGGCCGCCGACTCGGAGCGGATCCGGGGAACTGACTGGGGCGCGCGGGCGACAGCAGAGCGGGGACCTCGCGCTGCGAAATGGGGGAGCCCGGCGCTGGAGGCCGAGGGGGGCCGGGGTCGGTGGGGGTGGGAGAGGCGGAAGAGTCTGGGCAGGAGAAACGCGCGCTCTTCGGCCCCGGGGCCGCTGCCGCCCGGAGCTCGCCGCGAGGTCTGCGCGGTCCGCGCTTGCGGAGAGGAGGGGGACCTCGGGCGCGCCCCGGGACCTCTCCGCGAACGCTGCTGTTTAAGCGGGGGTCAGATGTCGTGGCTATAAAAAGGCAGCGGGCGGCAGCGTGACTGGCAGAGTCGCCGGCAGCTGCGGGTGTCAGTCTCGCCCCGCGTGGCCGCGGGCGTCATCCCGGGCCGCGGTGTGCGGGACCTGCGGGCGGGTGGGTGCACGCGCGCGCCCAGGTGGTGAGGGAGTCGCCGGGTGACCGAGGGTTTCCCGGGGAGCGGGCGAATGCGGTCGTTAGGACTCCTTATCTGCGCTCAGTGTTACCAGCCAGCTGGGCACGGCAGCGCCTGGCCGGGAGTGCGCGCGGGGCGGGGGAATTCTTTGCCTCTGAAGCAAACTCTGTTTCCTGTTCAAGAAGCCGGTTTTAGTAATCGGTCGGCCTGTGGGGGCTTCCTGCATTTTATGCTTAAGACCTAAGGGAGCTGAGAGCTTTTTAGGATTCCAGAAAGAAAAATCTTTATTTTCCTCAAAAGCAAGCGAAAGATCTGTAAGGTCACTTGAAAAGGTCAGTAGACTGCGTCTGTTACCCAGGGCATTCTCAAAGAAGCTGGATGCGTCCTGGAGGAGGAACTGTTTCACCCTGAAGCGCTTGTGTGAGGGATGAAAGTACTTTTGTAATCTGATTTTTAAGAATTTCTATCGAAAATTCACTTAACTTGTTTTAAATTCTCTATACAAAGTCTTTCCCCGAGGACAGGGTAGGCACTGCTTGCCTTGGATCCGAAAGAGAGTAAACTTCACTAAGCCTGAGCGTGGCAGACGAGAAAGAAGCTTTTCAAGTCACCCTTTTTCCCCTAGTGTCTTCTCTCCTGGGGGTGTTTGTGCTGATTCCCACTAGCTTAAACTGATGTGTGCACCTGAGCGTTCATGTCTTCTGCTCTCCCCCTAATTGGTCCCACAGTTGAGCGCCCGGCCACATTTTTATAGATAAAGGCTTTCAAACCTTTTATTGGAGTCTCTAGGGCTACCTTTCCTAATTAAATTGTTCGGTTGCTTCATTATTATTCAAATTGCATTTGTTAGCTCCTCCCAAATTCTTAGGAGACTCCGGAGAGGGAGAGGGGAAGAATACAGACGTATTTGCAAGGTATTTGAGATGGTAGCTGCACAGTGGGGTGATTTGCCTCAAAAAAGGAGGGGGGAAGAGAAGAAAAAAAAGGAACTGTGTGTGTGGGGGGGGGAGTAATTTGATATTGTGGGGGAGGGGGCAAAGAGATTCCAGGAAAAGTACCAGATCTGTTTGTTTGTTCTGCAGCTCTCCAAGGGGGCATTTTAAAAATTTGATTTGGGGACTTGAAATTGAAGTGAAATTACAACCCTGCCTGAAGGGTAGGATTCCCTGAACAAAGACTTCCCCAGAGCTCAGACTTGGAGGCACCCTGCTGCTGCTAACCTAAAGGCAGACCTGCCTGGAACTGGTGTTTTGATGACTTCAGTAATAAAATCCTCCCACGTGAGTTCTCGAGAGCAGCCTGGAATCTGGCTATAAAAGGATTGAGTATATTTATGTAGTGAGAGGAGCAACACATTAATATTTGCCCTGGCAAACGTTACTGAAGCCTAACCACTCTCCACCTAAGCCTGCTAGGGTTAGGTGGCCTGCTTTTAAGACTTCCTCTGTTATCTTTGGGCCACTGTTCTTTCCAGGTTTCCCTGGCTTTGATGTGAAGAGTTAGGGCTTGATGCAGAATCTCAGAGAATGTTTGCTTTCTACAGTGGGAGATAGGCTCCTCAGTCGGCTCCAGCAGGGATTGTCCCCGTTATGCCGGCTGATAAAGGGAGTTGGGATTGGGACGGGGAGGCTTGCAGTTGTGACTTCCCTTCCAGTGTCCAGAAGGCTGTTTGACATGTTGCATTATAAGCCTGTTTTATTTTCAGTAAACTTTGTATTTACCCTCTCTCCAACTTAGGAAATGGAATGTGAAGGATAAGGACTTTTTTTTAATTCTGAAAAAAGATAGATCTGGTGTACTCTGAACCACGAGCAAAACATTTTTCTGTGGAACACTCTTCGCTCTGCCTCTTCTAAGCAGATTTGGTTTAGTGCCTGTTCTTGGCTGAGACCTGGAACTTTTCCCAGGAGGTTCAGAAATCCATCCTGGATGGAAGGTGGGGATCTTGGGAATGGGATGCAGGCACAGGTAGCATCACCAGTGAAGTTGCAAGGCAGCTTGGCAGGAGCGGTGCAAAAGAGTGCTGTCTGAAGGTGGATAATACAATTTTCATTTCCCTCCGTCTCTAAGACTTATAAAGAATCCTCTGATCTTATTTTTAAACCAAGTGCCTTGTAAGTTTTACCACATTGTGCGAAGTTTGAAAATGTAGTGCAGTTAAGGTGAGACTTAAATTGCACTTCTGGCTTCCACTCCATATTTTATTCATGAATAGCAGGAGTGTTCTCAGGCACCTCAGTTCTGTTAAGGACAGATTTCAGCACTTCTCACCCTTCTTTCATCATAGTTAATCACAGAATAGGTGAGTCTCACCTTCAATCCTCATATTGCAGATAAAACCCCCCAAAAGAGGCAATGATTAAGCTGTTAAAAACAATAGCATTAGTCTGTGTTGTAGCTCAGTGGTTGAGTAGCATGCCCCAAAACCCTGGGTCCAATCCTCAGCAACATCCCCTACCCAAAAAACCACAAATTGCACTATAAATATTATTTTTAACTTTAAATCTTTGGCAAATTACTGTCCCTTAAAAATTGTAATAACAAGGGAAGCAATTAAAAGTTTTTTGTTTTTGTTTTTGTTTTGTGGTACCCTGGCTCCAACCAGGTCTTGAGCACGCTAGGTAATCACGCTACCACTGAGCTGCATCCCCAACCCAAAAGATTGTATTTAAGCATGTGAGGAGCTCTGAGTTTGATCCAGAGTACAAAAACATTAATTTTCCCCTAAAGAAAGTATTTCCCCCCAAAGTCCAAGTTTTAAGGGACACCATAGTCCAGCTAAGTTTGGCTTATGTTTTCACAGCCAGAGACCCATCTCCTAAGAGTCTGAGGAAGTGCAGAGATCTGAGGCACAGCAGAGATCCAAGGTCAGCAGGTGATATTCTTACAGTGGTACATGTGGTGAATTCAACTGTTGCTGTCTGCTAATCCTTGGCTTCCCCCACTTAACACATACACACACACACACACACATACACACACACATACACTTTCTTCTTTTTTTTTCTGGCTGTGGCGGGAATTGAACCTAGGGCTTCCTACATGCCAAGCAAGAATTCTTTACCATGGAGCTACATACCCAGTCCTTTCTTAAAATAATTTAAAAATTATTATTAGTGAGTTCATCTTCTCATTGTTTCTTGAGAGTAAGTAGAGATGGTTGCCCTTCTGATACTGAAACCGTGGCTCAGAGATGACAGAGGACTTTTCCGAAGCTGCATCGTGTGAGTGACGACTAGAAGAGGGTCAAGTGTGGAAATCTAAGCCCTTTTCCTCAAAATTCTGTTTGGTCCTAAAAGCGTTGGGCTTACTACACCTATGACCACGGCTGATCTTTTGGACTTCCTTCTAGCTGGAGTGCCTGTGATACAGAAGAGCTGGAATAGATAGAACTACATAATAGTTACAAATGATGTGACCAGTGCTTGCTCTGGCAGCTCATATACTAAAGATGAAACAATACAAAGATTAGCATGGCCCTGTACAAGAATAATAGGCAAATTAATTCTTTAAAAATGTGATCAAATGAAGTCACACCTTAATCAAGTGCTTGCTCTAATATGTATATTTATAGAGCATATTTTTATGAGATGTTTTGATAAAGTTCAGTGATTCAGAGTCAGAGAAGCCTAATTCTCTACTTTTATTAGAAAGTAGAGAGATCCCTTTTTTTTTTTTTTTTGGTGGTATTGGGGATTGAATTGAACCCAGGGCCTGGTGCATGCTAGGCAAGTTCTCCACCACTGAGCTGCAGCCCATGCCTTTCTCTCCCATTTTTGTGTTAGAACATACACAGGGTAGTTCAGTGAGCTGGGAGGCAGGAACAGGGCATGCTGGGCATTCTGGCTAAGAGCTCTGAGCTTGACACTCATCTCCTCTGCCCCAGTTCACCCTCTGCGTTATTCCGTCCTGCCCGTCTCATACTGGTTCATGACAATTTCACTTCCTACCATAGCCACCTCTCTCTTGCTGATTTTTCTTACTTTTTCTCTTTTTAATTTTTATATCTTTTTAGGGGCTTTTAAAAATTCTTCTTCCTTTGTCATAGCCTTAAAATTCTCTGGTGACAGTGGCTGTCCCTTGTTCACCTATAACACTCAAATAAGTGTTTCACTCTTGGACTAAATAGTCCAAGGTACTGATGGACTTTCTCTTGCAGACCTCTGAGAAAGACCATACCTTTGTATGAAGGGGCCATCTAAAGCCACCTGGAGTTGCTCTCAAAATGATTGTAAAAAAGTTTCCCCAGAGCACTTTTCCCTTCTTGGAGAAGCCTTGATAAACCGGAAGCCAATAAGGATGTCATTGAATACATATGTTAAGGAAATGGTTGTGTTTTTTTATTTTTAATTGCCTACCAGTATGATTTGAGAGGATTTCATAGAGAAAGAGTTAGTCTTCACAGGTAATAAAATCATAATCAGTTCTTCAAAAATTTCTTTGGTTCTCATTTAATTCTCCTTACTAAGTAGTTGATCAAATGGACAGTGAGTCTTCATGACTTTTGTATATTCTCCTATTAGTAGTGCTATTATTACTCAAAGGAGTCGTTCTGTTTTGGGGTTGAAATTTCTTATTGAACAACTGGGTCTTGAATTTGTAAGTAGTTCCATTCACCAGCAAACCTCTACAAATTTAAAGGAGCTGAGATAATGCTGCAAGTAGAAAG